AAAAAAAAAAAGAAATTGTATATTGACTATTATAGAAGAAATATCTAATAGGAAATGCATTATTAAGTATGGTGCATAAAATTAACACGTGAAGTATTGGGACTCTCAGTTCATAGTACTCAGTTCAGCAATACGTGGGGATGGAGCTGTGTCTAGGTTCCAGAGTCAATTATTGGTAATTGGTAATTTTAGATAATTGTTTTCAAACACTCTTCCAGATATAGAATTTTCTGTGTATCTGAGGAATGCACATTCCCTGATGGACAGAAAATGCACCACTTTTTTCATTATATATGACTTACATTCTTTTTTCCCATTATGCCCTACATTTTACTACCTTTACTTCCTCCCCACTTTTATTATTTGACCCCAGCATGTATCTGAATTTCATATATCCTTCAGGGTTCAGGCTAAATACAACTTCTGTCATAAAGCCTTCCTTAAGTTTCCTCTACTGTTTCCATTTCTCTTTAACTGTACCTTTCCTAAGTTTTATTAATTTCTAATTTTTATTTTATATATGGTATATTCATAACAGGTAGGATCCATTTTCATCTTTGTAAACCCAGAACAACATAGAAGTAGCTTAAACACTGAAAATTATTTGTTAAAAAGTGAACTGATGAGTGCACATGATGTTATGTTCTTTTGGCAATTTACATTTAGAGACATAAAAGTAAGAGCCTAAAAGTTTGGTAACTGAACCCAGAATTCATGTCTACTTTTTAAATATCTCTCGATGTTTTTCTGGATGAATTCAGTGGTTTATCCTGACATATCATCTTTGTTCCTTATCTCTTTTTCTATTTGAAAACTAGAATAATACCAAGATTTTACTTACCATATTGTGATAGTATCAAGAATCAGGGCTTTTATGATAACTGAGCAAAGTGGAGCAGCTACGTATGAACTTTTCCCACTAAAGCTATTTGTACTGTGTATTAGCTATGTCTGTCCCCCTTCCTTCCATGTCCATAGCCTCAGTATCTAATGTACTGTCAACCATTGTTTGGCCCAGCATGCTATTTTGGCCACAGGAATAGATAATTTAGGGAGAGATTAATGCCAGGGTGTGAAGACCAGATGAGGATCAAACAAACTTCATGACGAAATTATGTGCCTCTATTAATTACTTAGGCAGGTCTGCATTTTGTGTGAAGTTTCTTCCATTAGTAGAAAGACAATAATATTGAATTAACTAGTTCAATTAAATGTGAGACATGTGCATAATTGCAAGTCTGACCACGTAGTAAGAAGACTATAGGGCACACACTTTCATCAACTATGTTTTGATTTGACTGAGTTAGAACTCAAGATGACTCACTTCTTCACCTTTATTCACTAATGCTGTTTTCTCAGCTACCTTGCAAGAAAACAAAGTGTCATAATGTACATTGGATCTCGAATGTTAAATGCACTGTTCCTTACTGCAAAATGCTTATACTAGAAGCTATTGTACTTGTTGTCCTGAGTGAATGGACATTCCTTTTCATGTTTCTTTTGCTTATTTCTTATGCAGATAATTATAACCTCTAAATGAGAACACGAAGAACAATAGCACACTTTGATCATTTTCCGGAAGTTATACAAATAGAATGGGTAAATGAAATTGGATTTTTCGATTACATATAAAATAGCACAGACTTTAATGACCTTCTTATCTCAGGGAAGCACTTATTAAGGATTAGCAATTCAAAAGAGCTTGGAGGTATTAGCATCTGCAAAGGATTTAAGAAAGTTGGATTATCAAGACACACGCTCTATATCTTTCTCTTCTTCGTGCTAGATTGAGGGAATAATTATGGGTAGAAAGATTTTCCCATTTCCCCCAAGACTCTCTGCTCAGAGTTTACTCTTTAGAATTCATAACTCTTTCAATGGAGATTAACACTTTATCAACAGGTATTCTAAAAAAGATCCCGTCAGTTGCTAAGCAGGATTCACAGCTGCTTGCTAAATCCCACCCCTACACATGTTAGTTCCCTCACAAGTGCAGCCATTAATGCCCTATGAGTTAGGAACACTGCAGTCAAGTATACTTAGCAGGTAGCATGATGTTCCCTTTACCAACCAATGTTGGGTCTTTGCCAACCTATAATCCTGGTACGTAAGCCTCATCCTTTATCTTAAGCAGTTTCTACTGTTGGATTCCATACAAAAGTACAAAGTAATTCTGCCATATAATGTTATTAAATACTCTTTTTAGGCTCCACCATAGAATGAGTGTAAGGTTTCCTTCTATTTGTGTTTACTGTTAAAACCAGAAGCCATGTCATTAACACAGGTTACACTGCTAGACTCTGAATGGCTAAGTTGAAGTGGTTGTTTAGATAAGTCATAATTTATTCCAAAGAAAAGATATCTGGCCTGAGAAGCAGGCGGTCAGAATAAGGGTTAAAGGTAACTGTTGTAACCTGTCCAAGGATTTTCCACAAGATTCAGGGAGAAAGTACACCAGTGATACCTTATATGAGGGCCCATTGGCCCCCTAAATGCATGTTCAATCCATTGATGTTACTAAATAATATGATTAAGCATCTACAGAATAAATATACTTCATTATTATGTATTATGAGATACGTCTTGCATTACCACTCAGCTTGAGTTATGGATAGGACATCAGCAAGTTGGTGGCTATGGAATGTAATAGGGCTTACCTGCTTGCAGAAGCACCTTCAACCTCCATGCCACAGCACAACTTGATTCTGTGCCATTCCATACCAAGTTGGAAGAAACGAAATTTTCATCATCTCTCTCTCTAAATCATTCTGGCAGCCTCATGGCAATCAAGACTATGTCAGGAGGGGATCATGGTGCAAGTGTTTTTGTGCTTAAGGACTTTATGTCTTTACGTCCGTGCAAAACAATGACACACAGTAGAGGCTAAATATTTGGGTAGAATACTGAATGATCACACGTTACATTATAATATGGACAAATTATTCATAGTAGGGGCGCCTGGGTGGCTCAGTCGTTAGGTGTCTGCCTTCGGCTCAGGTCATGGTCCCAGGGTCCTGGGATTGAGCCCTGCATCGGGCTCCCTGCTCAGCGGGAGGTCGGCTTCTCCCTCTCCCTCTGCCTTCCGCTCCCCCTGCTTGTGCTCTCTCTCTCTCTCTCTCTGTCTAATAAATAAATAAATAAAATCTTTAAAAAATATATTTTATAAAAAAATTATTCACAGTAGTTTATCTATATTGCTTAACCCCTTTATAAAGCACATTTCATACTCAACTGCATAATGTCTAAGGCTTTGTTGGATTTTAAATAATTATTAATATGTATGTGCTTTTCCCAAATTGCGACACTGTTCATCCAAAGTAGATAAGATGATGGTGTTTAAGGATACAAACTTGTAATAAGGAAATAAGCCATAGAGATCGAATGCACAGTATAATGAATATAGACAGTAATGTACGGTAATTATGTAATATGATAAATATTGCTACAATGGCAATCCGATCACAGTATATAAATGTATCGAAGTAACTTTATGTATGCTGTATGCTATACACCTGAAAATTACATAATGTTACCTGTCAAATTTATTCAATAAATAAATAAAAAGAAAAAACGAAATACATAAAAGAAGGTTTTCCTTTCTAGTCTATATTCTTTCTCTATTCTATTTCCTCACATTCTAGTCACGTAAATTACAATTATAAATATTCTGCCTGGAAATTAGGATTTGATGCAACTCCCCTATTAACAAGTTGACTCCAGTCTGTTTATTTATTATTCTCCTTACCTTTTTTCAAATCTTCATTCGTCAAACTCTCAATTAAACTTCCATTTCTTATACTAAATATGTCCATCCAGGTAAATTGGCCAGTTGCTGGCATTATATCAGGAGTGAGCAACCAACCTCTCTCACCACAAGTAACTCATATAATACCTCATATTTTTCAATTTACTCTTTTATTTCTCTCTTAATATCAAAGTTATACACACACATGCATATAATCACTTTCCTCAATAGCATTGATAATTACTGCATTCTTATTCATTAATTTTATCAAATCAATTTTAATGCTTATAATATGGCAGGCATTTTGTCAGGATGCAAAGGTAGGTAATACCTAATCACTCCCTTGAAGGTTCTCTCGGAACCATGCAATTTCCTGTTTACAGTCACTTGCTGATAATGGGCATAGCCTGGTGTTCTAATCCTGGCCCCATCAGGCTCCACTAGGACCACCAATATATGTGGTTGTTGTGGATGTGGATTTGGGATTCAGCCTGGGGTGACTCAGTCTCCTTATCATCTGCTTGTTTACCTCTGTGATGGGGGGAGAATTATTTTACTTCTGTATTGCTCAATAAATGTGATTTAAAAATAAAAATTATAGCAGTACTTATTTCACAGGGTTGCAGTGAGGCTTTAATGACAGGTTATGTACTAAACTCAACATAATACTTGGCATGTTATACCCACTTAATAGCGGTGTGTGCATGTGTGTGATTGTTTTGAAACATTTGAAAACGATGGATCTACATAATTGTAATTAATTTTTTTGGACAAAAGACAATATGAGATCTTTTAGATAATTTGGTGAGTATTTGCATCTTGATTTTGTACTTATTTGTGATTTTTTTAACTTCAACTTCATGTAAATATCACAAAAATTAATATAGTTTTTAACATTAAGATAATTTGCTTTTATATTTTATATAATAAAATAAAATATTTTATATTTTATATTATATGTATAATATGTGGGGCTATATCCCACATAGTATAAAATCTTGAGTAAAATTTACAAAACAATTATAAAGCCACGATGGAAGCAGTTATTACTAGAAATTTTGGATTTTATTTTATATGACTCAGGTAAACAAAGAGGAAGGTTAAGATAATGGCATACTTTTTTATTTGAAAGGACTGAGTTTAAGAGCTATTTACTTACGGAAACTTTATGATGTAAAAATTTAAACATCTGAAGAAAACATCTAAAATAGTGACTTTACTATTCTAGGCTGTTTCCCTTCTTTTTATCTTTCAGGAATACACAATAGATATAATTTTTGCGCAAACCTGGTTTGACAGTCGTTTAAAATTCAACAGTACCATGAAAGTGCTTATGCTTAACAGTAATATGGTAGGGAAAATTTGGATTCCTGACACGTTCTTCAGAAACTCAAGAAAATCTGATGCACATTGGATAACAACTCCTAATCGTCTGCTTCGAATTTGGAATGATGGACGAGTTCTATATACTCTGAGGTAATACTACTTAAAAAAATGTAGTTGTTCTAATTCATTTTCCATACTAATACTTGATCAATTCACAAATTTTCCTTTTTCAGTTTTACAAAGAAAGAAGTATGGAGTTCCTTTCATACACTAAAATTTAAAGTGGTGGAATATTTTGGAAACTTTCTTTTTTTAAGCTCAGAGTAACTGGTATATGAAAGGGACTAAAAGCAAAGAAAAAAATCTCTTGATACCCCCTCCTCTGAAACATAGGAGGGTGTGGTGTGACCATTATGTGTTTTAACCCATAATGCAAATGGTTGACTGAGATTTTCTCTAGGAGTCAATCCTGCTATAAAATTCAATAAGGTAGTAAAACACTCCTAAGAAAGGATTAAAAGAAGATTCAAGTTTCAATTCATTGTCTTGAACATATCTTAACATATCAAGAATCATCCCAATCTTATTAAGAATCATCCTTAATGGAAAGAAGTTCATGAAAATTTAAGAGAAAACAATCACCATGCTTAATCATGTATACTCTGTTAATTGTGTGTGTGTGTTTGTTGTGATCCTGAAGTATAAATTTTTAACTGTAAACAGAAATTATACTGAAATATATACAGTGGCAGCTTAGTTGGCTGGAGAGGAAAATGTTAGAATTTTCTTACTCGTGAATGCTATAATATCACCACCCAAAACTTTGAGACATTACAATTATTATTATTTTCTAATATATCACAGTCTGTTATTGTAGGCCAAAATCATTCTTGAAAATTAGACAAAGGATTTTTAATGCTTGAAATTATTTCTTATATTTAATATTTATTTTTTCATTTAAATAGATTGACAATCAATGCAGAATGTTATCTTCAGCTTCATAACTTTCCTATGGATGAACATTCTTGCCCACTGGAATTTTCAAGCTGTAAGTGACAAAATATGTTATAATTTCATAGAATTTCAGCCTCAGACTCTGTTTATTTAAAAGTGTAAAATAAAATGAGAGAAAATATAACATATAATTTTCAGAAGTGTGGATTATGTTCGTCTCTCAGATAAAACAGTTACAAATGATGTATTTTTCTTGCTTTTAAATTAAAAAGTGACAATAAATGCATAGTAAATGTATATATTTAATTATATTTTTGCTCACACACTTTGGTTTTATCCAGTGTCTTTTTCCTATTTTGATTAAAGTAGTCCTGAAGATAGGTTTGTGTTCAAATGTTTTAACACTGCCATGAATAAAATATTGTTTCAAATTTTATTCATCTCCCTGAGGCAAGATTTAACTTTATTATATTGGCTCTTAAAATATGTTTCAAAGATTGGTTTGGTGAATAATATTTACTGCGTGAATAGCAAATCTTTGAGAAGACTTTAATGAATTGGAAAAACCAAGGTAGAAATAAGCTTATTTTATTAAAAAGAAAGATTGAAACACAGAGAAATGATTAGAACTAAATAATTTGAAAATAAAGAGTATTTTGTTCCAAGAAAATGATTATCTTTGTATATGAATATCAATTTTATTTCACATTTATTGTTTACATATATTTTTATAAAAGTGTTTTTCTAGATAATATATAATTGAACAAGTCTTGAAAACATGTAAAATGCGTTTACAAAATGTTATTGCCTATATACACAAATTGTCTGCTATTTTCCTTCTATTGAAACTTGACTTCTTTATATATCACATTCTAAAGTTTATTCACTCTAGATTTTATGTATTCACCAGTATTATCCTGCTTCTTCACTTACAAAATTCCCAAATATCTCTTGTTGCTTTTATTAATGATTTTCTTGACTTTTCTTAAAGATTTTTGTTTCATTAAAATGTCCTTTTAAATTTATAATCTATCTCACTGCTTTAATTTTCTAACATTAACTTCTCAATGAGTAAAACAGCCAAATCATAACAAAGGCTTGATTAATCCAAGCACTCAAGGAATAGTTGAAAGGCAAATATTTGAAAATCTAGCAATTATTGTACTTGCCTCCTAGACACCATAACTAAATTCTTGGTGTGATATTTCTTTGGCTTTGATTGTCATTGCTAGAAATTAATAATCTGTCCCTGTGAATCCAATTGGTTATCACTGACATAAATATAATAATCATAGCTAACTTTTGAAATATTCTACATGGATCCAGCAGAGAATTAAGGTTTCTATGCCTAATTTCACAACAAATATATTCAAAAGATTTCAATACATCCCCATTTAAAAAGTCAATATCATTACATTTAGAATAGTTAAGTAACGAGCTCACTATTTTTATCAGTGCACACACTCATATACTATGACTATATTCTATTGCATTGATAATGATAGTTTAAAAAAAATACAAATTATGGAAAAGCAGGAAGGTTAGAGCCTGATAGAACAAGAAAGAAGACATGAAAAAAGAAAAGAGAGAACAGATTTTTAATAGGTTAGTGGAGAGATGAGCTATTTCATTGAATGGCTGATGAGGATATCCTGGTACAAAGTGATACAATGTTTTTGAAAATTTTTGAAGTTGATAGTGAATTCTGTTCCTGTAATGTAGTAGACCAATTCTTCTGTTGAAAACAATTTAAAACTTTATATTATTAAAAATCTTCTCAAAAACATGTAAGTGAAATCACCAAGAAGGAATTGAAGCATAAAAAATTAAGCCAGAAAGATTTATAGTCACTTTTGACCCAAGGACATTTGCCAAACAAGGTAAATTTGAGCTTTGACTTTGACAGCCTTGTGGATTAGGGTTCTAATATTACATAATTTCTACATGCAGCTGGGTTACAAAGGCTGGATGCTTAAGGTAACATGGAGAAGCAACACACACATGTGTATGTATGTACAAACATACTAAAGTCTAAAAGAAAAGTTGCCTCTGCAATCAGCATACTAGGGTGAAGTAATTCCTTGAGAGGATATAATTACAAACCCACCTTCACATGAATTTATAGCCCAAATTTCCATCACTTGATTACTCTGAAAAGTCCCTGTGGATTTTTCTGACATGTGGCAGAAAAAAAAATTTTTTTTTGAAAGAATACACCTCCATGCTAAGCAACTTCCAAGATGAAAAAGACATTTTCAACACAAATTACTAACAAAGATCTAGTATTCAGGTTATATAACTAATTCAGACCAAAAAGGGAAAGAGAGAGAAAGAGAGAGAGAGAGAGAGAAAGCCCAATAAAGGAATAGGTGATTCAACAAGCAATTCTCCAAAGAAGAAACCTAAGAATCTAATAAACATATGAAAAAATGACTGTTTCATTCATAATCAGGAAAATGTGAAATAAAATTAGCTTACAGACCAGCAAAAATAGACTGTCCACATCAAGTTAAATGAGAATATGGATCCAAGTATACTTTCATACTCTGGCTGGTGAGAGAATTTATTGGTATACTCTTTATGAAAAGAAGATTGGCACTGTCTCATAAAGTAGAAATTATATGCAATCCATGACCCCAGCTATTCCATACCTAGGTATAAATCCCAGAGAAACTTGCACTATGTATTTTGTGAGGCATGTATAGTAATGTCACTAGTAGCAGTGTTCTTATTGACCAAAAGGAAACATTATAGGTGTCTCCGACAGTAAAATAGATAAATTTCAGTACATCTTTATGATGGAACAAATTTGCTAAAGCTACATACATTAGCAAGGATGACTACTACAAATATCATATCAAAAGAAGTAAAGTATAAAGTAATGCATCTAGTATGGCAACAATCAAGTAGAATTCAAAAGAACCTAAAATAAGCTGTATGTTTCAGAAATGCATATCAGAAAATCTATAACCAAAACACAAGGGAAGGATTATCACAGAAATCAAGTTAGTGGTTACCTCTATTTACAAGAGGGACTACTGTATTGGGGTGGACACGTGAGTTTTCCGAGACACTAGCATGATTCTATTTTTTTATTTAAGTGGAGTTACATGGATTATCATTATGTAATCATTATATGATTTTTAAACTATACACATATATTTTATGCCATGTTTTCTATATTTGACATACCTATAATACAAACATGAATTTCAAAGAACTTGCCTTGGAATAATATTGGTATTGTAACAGTAACAGACTTGAATCTTGCTAATCCATATATTTTTATTTTAATTTTATCTAGATGGGTACCCTAAAAATGAAATTGAGTATAAGTGGAAAAAACCTTCTGTAGAAGTGGCTGATCCTAAATACTGGAGATTATATCAGTTTGCATTTGTAGGGTTACGGAACTCAACTGAAATTTCTCACACAATCTCTGGTAAGAAGGAAACACCAATCACTGAATGATGCTAGCATCAAATGACTATGGATTTAAATTATAGGTTGGAATCTATACTTTTATATATTTTAATAGCAAAAATAAAACTGTTTTTTTCTTCCAGGGGATTATATTATCATGACAATTTTTTTTGACCTGAGCAGACGAATGGGATATTTCACTATTCAAACCTACATTCCGTGTATCCTGACAGTTGTTCTTTCCTGGGTGTCTTTTTGGATCAATAAAGATGCAGTACCTGCAAGAACATCACTTGGTATGATACGAATATTATGCTATAGTGTCATGAGATTGTTAAAACATTTTAATGTGAAGAAAGTTTATAGTTGAATGTATTAGAATATTCCTCTACATTACAATCAAGCAAAAATATACAAGTACTCTAGTGCTTTATGAAATGTTGAAATGAATATATGACAAACAAGTAGGAAACAGAATCACAAAGAATTTAAAATTTCAGAATTTTTAAAATTTTTCCTGCTAATCGAGTTCAAAGGAAACATAAATACTCAGCAGGAATTAATAAACAAAAACCACACATAATCCATGAATCTCAATTTGGTCTGTATTTTTAATCACTCTTCATCAAGATTTTATTTTATTTTTTAGCTGAATCACTGATAGCCAGCATTTATTAACCGATGTGTGTTTAGAAGGCTTTGAAATCCCCTGCTCTTACAATGGTGCTAATCAACAGTGAACTTTTCTAAAGGGCAAGTCACTGAAAGGGACAAGAAACTTCTGGGCTTCTGTAATCTATAAAATGTGTAATTAGTCTATGAATATTTTGAGAGATGCCTGTACAATAACACTGATTAAAAGGGTAATTTGTAATTCATACTTGAAAAAATAGACTTTTGGTTTCTTTCTTTAGCAATCAATTGCAATAATCAAAATCATATAAAAATGTGTCTAATTACTATACGTTTGTTTAAAAGAAAATAGCATCCATTTTTGTATTGATATACAAAGACAACTTATTGATCAATTTCATTCCCAAGATCAGTGCAAGACATGAATCACACTACTGATAATTGTGTCTTAAAAAATATAAAGTTGGGACAGTCTGTTTTCAACAATAGGGAGGTTTTCTTGTGGTTTCTATGATAGCTGTATTAATAAATACAGTAAAATGAAAATCACATAAAAGTGGCAAGATAAAGCCTGAGGCACCCAGCTCTAAACTTGGAAAATGCAGTACCCTTGGGAGTCTAAAGAGAAATGTACATATAGCCAGTGAATAAAATGTACTTAATACCTAAGTTTTGTTTCCTATTTAAACTATTATTATTATTTCTAATTATTTTATGTTTAGACCATACTTTAGAGTAAATAAATTATTTCAGATTCTTTGTTTGCTACCATGAATATGACTTAAATATTACATTTTTGTTTTTAAATATTATTCTCATATTTTTTCCCAAAGAAAATTTGAATGGATTATTTATTTTTTAATGTTTATAGCAGCTTTATTCACAATAGCCCCAAACAAGAAATAACCAAATGTCTGTCAATGGGTGAATGAATAAGTAAATTGTAAATTATGGCCAATGGAATACGTCTCTGTAATAAAAAGGAGCATACTACTGATACACAACACAGAGCTACAATATGGATGAATCTCAAAAATAGGATGCTGAATCAAATAAGCAAGACACAAAAGCATACATACTATAAGCTTGTTTATATGAAGTTTCTTTCTAAAATATTTTATTTATTTATTTGAAAGGGAACACAAGCAGGGGGAGTGAGAGAGGGAGAAGCAGGCTTCCTGCTGAGCAGGGAGCCCAATGTGGGGCTCAATCCCAGGACACTGGGATCATGACCTGAGCCGAAGGCAGATGCTTAATGACTGAGCCACCCAGGCGCCCCCATTTATGTGAAGTTCTAAAACAGCAAAACTAACCGATGGTGTTAGAAATCAGATCAGCAGCTGTCTTTTTTTTTTTAATTTTATTATGTTATGTTAATCACCAAACATTACATCATTAGTTTTGGATGTAGTGTTCCATGATTCATTGTTTGTGCATAACACCCAGTGCTCCACGCAGAACATGCCCTCTTTAATACCCATCACCAGGCTAACCCATCCCCCCAACCCCCTCCCCTCTAGAAACCTCAGTTTGTTTCTCAGAGTCCATAGTCTCTCATGGTTCATCTCCCCCTCCGATTTCCCCCTCTTCATTTTTTTGTTTCTTACTATCCTCTTTTTTTTATTTTTAACATATAATGTATTGTTTGTTTCAGAGGTACAGGTATGTGATTCAACAGTCTTACACAATTCATAGCGCTCACCATAGGACATACCCTCCCCAGTGTCTATCACCCAGCCACCCCATCCCTCCCACCCCCCACCACTCCAGCAACCCTCAGTTTGTTTCCTGAGATTAAGAATTCCTCATATTAGTGAGGTCATATGATACATGTCTTTCTCTGACTGACTTATTTAGCTTAGCATAATACCCTCTAGTTCTGTCCATGTCGTTGCAAATGGCAAAATTTCGTGTTTTTTTATGGCTGCATAATATTCCATTGTATATATATATATATATATATATATATATATATATATATACCACATTTTCTTTATCCATTCATCTGCTGATGGACATCTTGGGTCTTTCCATAGTTTGACTATTGTGGACATCGCTGCTATAAACATTGGGGTGCACATACCCCTTCGGATCCCTACCTTTGTATCTTTGGGGTAAATACCCAGTAGTGCAATTGCTGGGTCGAATGGTAGCTCTATTTTCAACTTTTTCAGGAACCTCCATAGTGTTTTCCAGGGTGGCTGCACCAGCTTGCATTCCCACCAACAGTGTAGGGGGGTTCCCCTTTCTTCACATCCTCGCCAACATCTGTCATTTCCTGACTTGTTAATTTTAGCCATTCTGACTGGTGTGAGGTGGTATCTCATGGAGGTTTTGATTTGGATTTCCCTGATGCCGAGCGATGTTGAGCACTTTTTCATGTGTCTGTTGGCCATTTGAATGTCTTCTTTGGAAAAATGTCTGTTCATGTCTTCTGCCCATTTCTTGATTGGATCATTTGTTCTTTGGAGGTTGAGTTTGGGAAGTTCTTTATAGATTTTGGATACTAGCTCTTTATCTGATATGTCATTTGCAAATATGTTCTCCCATTCTGTCGGTTGTCTTTTGGTTTTGTTGACTGTTTCCTTTGCTGTGCAAATGCTTTTTATCTTGATGAAGTCCCAATAGTTCATTTTTGCCCTTGCTTCTTCCATAATATTTATATGAAGCCAAAAAGAATGCCATGGTGTCATCAAAGGGAATAGCCAATGGTGGAATTGTGTTGTTATCTGAGTTCATATTTTTTAATATTAGCATATTGACTATAAAGATAAGCCATAGCCAGATCTAACTTGAAGAATATCTCTTATAATTGTGAGCCGTATGTATTTGGAGCTCAAGATTTTTTTTAAAACAAGTATATGCACATACATACATACATATATATGTCACTGAAGTACAATTTCCCGAGCTTATTTATTCCACGTTGTGTTTTAGCAAACATTTACCAAATGCTTTTTACGAAACAGGCAGTGTTCTAAGTGCTTCAGTGTTAACAGTGAACCGTAGCTATAAAATCCCCATGTTCATGGCATTCATGTTTTAGTGGGGTGTGCAGGTAATGTACAAATATAAAGAGTATAGAACGTCAGTGAGTAATGAGGCTATGAAGAGAAACCAAAATAAATGGAAAGAGAATGGCAGGGGATGTGCGTAAATATGATGTTTGCTATCTTATCCTGTGGAGTCAGGCTACACCCCTTTGAGGAGGTAGCAGAGACCCAGTGAAGCATGGGAGCTAGCCTGGTGGATATGTGATAGAAAGAAAGGCCAGACAGGGACAACCACCAGGTCCTAAAGTGGGATCTTCCTTGCCATCATGACTGAAGGTCAGAAAAAAGACAACTATGGCTGGAACTGACCAAAAAGTAGTAGAAAATGAGATTGGAGATATGGCTAATTGTTAGATCATATAGGCTTAGTAGGTCACTTTATGGGCTTTAGATTTTATTCTCAATGTGACTTGTAGGATTTTGAGCAGGAAATATATCAATGAATCTGCTTAATAACCCAAATATTTTCTTATTATCATGGATTCAAATATATTTTCATAGGAAATCCACTTATTTTTAAGCTAACCATGGTGATAATAATTACTAAATAAAATAAATAAATGTCTGAAAGCTAAGTTCTGCTGTAGGTTTCATTCTTTATGAATAGAAATGTAATAGTATTTTAATAAAGTGAAATTTAATGCAGTCATTAATATTGAAATCAAAACACACATTGTCTTTAAGGGTTTTTTTAGTAAATTGGGACATAAGTATGGAATCCAGGAATACATTTGGAAATCTACCTTTGTCTGAGTGTAGCAATGTTATGATTTAGTCAGTTACCAGAAAAAACCGCATAAGGGGAGGAAGAAGAAAGACTTGTTTATTCATGGAAATCAGCACTTACCATATGCCTAGCGTTGTAGTTTTGGTTTAAAAATAATTGAAGCAAAAATTGTCAGGAATAACAGGAGAAAAAAAATCTGTAATTATATTTGGATATTTTAACATCCTTTCTCACTCTTTGATAGAACAAGTACATGGAAGAAAATCAATGAAAATGTAGCAAATCTGAATGAAATTATCAACTACTGATTGGTATTTATAGAAGACTATACCTAACTACAGAATATTCCATATTTTCAAGTGCATATGGAGCATTAACCCAGATCTCAATAAAATTTAAAAGACCAAAATTTTCCAGAGTATATTTTCTGACCAAAATGGAAGTAAATTAAGAATTAATATAAATAGGGGCACCTGGGTGGCTCAGTCAGTTGAATGTCCGACTATTGATTTTGTCTTAGGTCACAGTCTCAGGATTGTGGGACTCAGCCCCAAGTCGGGCTCCATGCTGGGGGCATGGAGCCTGCTTGGGATTTTCCCAGCCTCTCTCTCTCTCTCTCATTCCCTCCCCCTTTCTAAAAAAAATTTTTTTTAAAAAAAGAATTAATATAAATAATATAGATAATAATGACCTTATCTATTTGGAAATTTAAAAATGACCTTTTAGATAACCCTTGGGTCAAAATGGAAATTGGAAAACATTTTAAGCTAAATTTTAATTAGAAATTCACATATAAATATTTGTGAGATGCAACTAAAGCTTTGCTTAGAGGGGAAATTGTAGCTTTACAATGCTAATATTAGAAAGGTAGATATAAAATCAATATTCTAAGTATCTGCCTTAACCGATAAATAAAATAAATACCTTATGTATAAATGTATTGTAAGTACTAAGCAAGATATTGCTGTGTCAGTTTTTTAGATGAAAGGCATAGAGGAGTTAAGAAACTTCCTTAAGATCACAGAGCTAATAGATAAAAAAGTCAGAATTTGAACCTAGATTTGCCACCATGACTCCCAATCCATCATACTCCTGTCTTTACTTTTTTTTTTTCAATCCTAAGCGATGATAAAAGTAAAAAGACAGGTGTGTAAGAGAAATTATTGGGGCATGTTTCAAAGGAGACATGAAGAATAAAGGTGGTATTGCCTTTACTATATCAAAGAGACCCTTTCTATTTTTTTCTTCATCACAGATGTTGTCACTGTATAAATAATTGGCCAAATTAAGAAGAATTTGACATTACTTTAAGTACTCTTTGGAGAGTACATAATTCCATTCATGGGGCCATATTTTAGCAGACAGAGAATGAGAATTATAGCAGTTTAGGTAAGGAGACATACAGCATGTACAGCCGTGAGTTAGGAGTGTCCAGATTAGCAGTGGTAACAACCACAAGAAAGCCACGACTAAAGAGAAACAGACATACCCAGAGATACATACACAAGGCTGAGGCCCAGGGAGATACCCAATTTTATATGCCGAATTGTTTAAAATATGAAGATTTTTTTTCTGTGCTTTTTAAGTGTACCATTGACGTAATCTTGCTTGTATTTTTTGCTTAAACCTTGAGATTAAAAAATAGCTTTATTTCAAGTTATTGTATAAGAAAACACCGTATTAGTTTGGATTAATTTTAACTGTATGTGGCAGAAAACCTCAAATCACTGTAGCTTAAATTAGGTAGAGGAGTATTTGTTTTTCATGTGAGAAGCCCAGAGGTACGTAGTCAAAGGGTGATTTCAGGGTGAGGGGCTCAGATTCCCTCTACTTTTCTGCTATGTTGTGGATGATTTTAATTCTCACGATTATGTAATGTGCTAAGATGGCTGTTGATGCTCTGGCCATTCCATTCCAGCAGAAAGCTATGAGGAAGAAAGAAAGATGGGCATTTTCTGTCTCTTTAATGCCATCTTTTATTTTTATTGAAATACAATTGACATTATATTAGTTCTAGGAGTACAACATAATGATTCAATATTTATATCTGTTGCAAAATGATCACCCCATAAGTCTAGCTAACATACATAGTCACAGAATTATTTTCTTGTGATGAGAACTTTGGAGATCTACTCTCAGCAACTTTTAAATATACAACACAGCCTTATTAACTATAATCACCATGCTTTTTGCATTACAGCCCCATGACTTACCTATTTCACAATTGGAAATATGAATTTTTGACTCCCTTTTTGCATTTTTAATGCCATCTTTTGGACACTGTTTACACCCTTGACTTGATTCTCCTTGGCTAGATCTCAGCCTGTGTCCACACATAGCTGAGCCAAGGTGGCAAAGAAGTTCTTCCATGCAACCTCATGCCAGCTAAAAATTGGACAGTCTCTTGCTATGGAGGAATGGAAGGATGGGTGTGGGGAGTCAGCTATTTGTAGTCCACAAATTTAGATGATTAAAACTCATCGCAGATGCAAAGAGCACATCGAACGTAACGTAGCTATGGTTACCGGTCATTTTTTCTGTAAATCACGAGTAATCATTTCCTTTTGTTTCCATTGCTTCTTTCTACTCCCAACATTGCCAAATCAGGTGGAAAAATAAAAATCTGGTGCTATTTCTTTATCTTGTATTTTCCGCTCCCTCCACAGGTATCACTACAGTTCTGACTATGACAACTCTGAGTACAATCGCCAGGAAGTCCTTACCTAAGGTTTCTTATGTGACTGCGATGGATCTCTTTGTTTCTGTTTGTTTCATTTTTGTTTTTGCAGCCTTGATGGAATATGGCACCTTGCATTATTTTACCAGCAACAAAAAAATAAAGACTGCTAGAGACAGAAAGCTGAAGAATAAAAGCTCGGTATGTTGAAAATCTCTATTTTCATAAACAGCAACTTACTGTTAGAGATATTTTGAATGCTCATGTTACACTTGCTTAGACTAATAGGAATTCTTGAGGTACTCTAACAAAAGCCAAATCCCATTAAGATGAAACTGGAGGTTTCAATGACTGTTCGGTCATTGCCCACCAGGAAAAGCATATATAGTTCCCCTTAGAAAAGACTAAGGATCCCCCTTGTAAAGAGTGGTTTCTTACACTGTGAATTTTCCTCAAGTGCTAGACTCTTTGTACCTAAAAAATTATTTAAGATCTCTCTTCGATTCTATTTTTTTGGGTTAGGATTTGGGTGCTAACAACAGGTGGCCCACAAAATTACTTCATTTTTAAAGGTAAAGAACGCTCTTTAATGTTAGTATTCAGCTGCGTTTGAAAGTCCTATCTATAAAGTGTTTTCAGTTTGTGTATAATTGTGTGCTCTTAGTCCCTCTTCCCTATTGTGTATCCACCTCAACACGGATAACATCAAATTGATATATTAGAATTGGTTCTATGAATTCTAAGATACTTAAGTGTTGGATGATTGACTATAAATTCTTATTGGAATGGCAATTACAACAACCTTAAAATAATACCTAACACTTTTACTGAATATGCCAGGTGTTTTACGTTCATGATTTCATTTATGCTCCTATGAGTACAAATTCAGTAATTTGCACAAGAGCAGCCTGAGGAAGTGAAAAATCCAAGACTCATACCCAGGTCTTTTTTGGTGCCAGAGCTGAAGCTGGTAATCCTTCCTTTATATTTCCTGTTCTCATAGGACTCAGAAAAGCAAACATCTGTTTCTCCAATATTGACCAAAAAGGCGCTTTATTGCTGATTCCAGTAAATGTTTTCAAAGCAGATTTGTTCCCAAATACCTAAATAAATGAGAACTGTATACAACAGCTACGCCTGAGTGGCAAGCTTGTAAGCCTAATATAATGAGGCATGGAGTTTTACATATTATTTCCTAACTTCGTAAGTTCTAGGATGCAATGCTTTTCATCCCTCCTCCCATTTTTCATTAATTTCTTTATAAATCTTTGACATATTTTTAAATTATATTTTACTTTTCATGTCATATTCCAAGGACCAAACCCTATGTAGATTTGCTCTCGGTTTCCCAGAGTATTCCAGGAGAGCAGAGCACATGGCTGGCGGTACACATTTGATAACTTACATTGCAGAATTAGCCTGTGACTTTCTCAATTTGACTTATTTTAGCTTATCCATGGGACATATTGTAGCCCCTGAAAGGACAAACCAACAGAGGGCAATGATGTCAACTTTAATATCCGTTTGCTGAATTTTTAGGTAAAGAAAAATGCAGGTTTTCTACTATTTTCCCTTAATCAAAGCAAATTATCCACTCTGGGTGTTCCATTTTATTTTTTACTCACCCATAGCTATGTTCAATTACTACTTTGAAAATTTTACTTCTGGAAATTGTGAATAAAATCAGGAAATGTACAATCTCACATAGATTCTCTAATTTCATTTTAAGAATATATAATGTACATACTGTTATTATATTATCAAAGACACTCAACCAAGTGTCTACTCTGGGACTATTGCTAATCAGTTTGTCACATTTACTCAGTAAACTTAAACATTGGAGTGCAAACATTAAAATTATGATGTTTTTTAATCTTCCATTCACCAAATATTTATTAAGGACACCCGTGTCTTAAGCAATGTTCTAGAATAGTTATTTAAGAAAAAAAAATCTATATTGAGTTATTTAAAATTTAGCATCAAGCCCAGGAAGCAAATAGTAAAGATGAAAAAATATGGAATAAAAATTAAATAAGAGCTTTGAAACACTAAATTTCAAACATCAAAAGTTAAATTGATATATATAACTGACTATGTGGGTACAAAAATATTTTCCTCAGAGCCAAAATAAAGTTCTGTAGTCTTTCCTTTCTGTTCAGTTATGTGATTTATGAGTTCTTTTAATACTAAATGACATTTTGGTTGAAAAACTGGAATCAGTAATCAAATCTGACTCCCTGCTTGGTTCAGTGTTCAGCCATCTGGTCTTGCTAATCAAGTAAATCAGAATGCACTTTTATGAAGAATAAACAGCTCTGCTTGTTGTCGCAAGTGCTCTATTTAATGGTTTGGTGGAGTCTGCTTTTACTTCTGCAAGCCAGGACAATCACACACACAACTTAGACCCAGAAATCTTGCAGGGTCTTGCTTTTAAACCTTTTCAAATGTTCCTTTGTTGTTGTTCTTCTTCTTTCTGTTCTTCTTCTTCCTCTTCCTCTTCTTTCTTCCCTTAACCCCTCCCCCTTCCCTCCTGCTCCTCCTTCTTCTTCCTCTTCTCCTCTCTTTTTCTTCCTTCCATATCCACACTTTTTTCCATAAGTTTAAAATTCTGAGTAGTTTAAAATCTAGCATTTCCTCCTTTTGTTCTTTAGATGACTTATGGTAATAGGTCAGAACCAAAGACCTAGACTAGAGTCATTGAAAGATCAACGTGTCTGTTATTAAGCAAAACCAAAATCACTTTCTTGAGGTCTGACTGCTTAACTGAGAACCCAGAATATTCTAATTTATTTTAAAAAGAGATAATATTTAGATGTGTCCAAATTTAGATTTTTAGCTTCCATGAATCCTCTTAAAAAATGTAAATTAATAAAAATGCTTTTTACCTTACTCTACATGTGAAATATTAGGCCCTTTCTCTCCCTCTCTCCCTCACTCTCTCTGTCTCCCCCTTAACTCCCACCTTCCTTCCTTCCTTCCTCCCTCCCTTCCTCCCTCCCTTCCTCTCTCCCTTCCTTCCTTCCTTCCTTTCCTTCCTTCCTTCCTTCCTTCCTTTGATCATTCTTTCCATATCTTTCTTTCCTCTTTATATTTTTATTATGAATACCAATGACATTTTAATTTGGTCCACATTTCCATCCCATCTAATACTTATTATTGTGTTTTTATTTATACTCATTAAGAATATGATTCAGATATGTTTATGTAATTATCTATTTTTTAAAAAACTCTAAGTTAAGAATGTTGGAACATGGAATCAAGACTCTATGAAACAGATAAAGGTCATAGCAATGTAACTGTGGTAAGCCACAAGAGTAGTCATGTTGAAACTAGAATATTCCTCCCATAGATGATTAGGAATCTCAGAAAACCATGTCATACATACCTATATCAGGGTCCTGTTTTACCCATTTGAGGACAGTCTGACTTATTTGTAACCTTTCAATTTGGTTAAAATGTACAATGATGGAAATTTATTTCACCAACCATGGACAAGACACTTTGGAGAGAAAAAAACAATAGCATATGATTTTTGTCTTCATTAATCTTTAAATCTAGTTATGGAAAAATATACTATACATAAAGTACAATACAAATTAAAAATTAAAAGTAAACAAAGATCCTATAGGGGAATTAGCTCAATTAGATGACAGATTTCAAATACTTTTTCAGGAGTAAATATTTTCTACAATGAATATAAGTTTAAAAATATTTTAGGGGCGCCTGGGTGGCTCAGTCAGTTAAGCGTCTGCCTTCAGCTCAGGTCATGATCCCAGGGTCCTGGGATCGAGCCCTGCATCAGGCTACCAGCTCTGCGGGGAGCCTGCTTCTCCCTCTGCCTGCCGCTCCCCCTGCTTGTGCTCTTTCTCTCTCAAATAAATAAAATCCTTAAAAAAAATTTAAAGACATTTATCTGAGAGATAGAAAGAGAGAGAGAGAGAGAGAGAGAGAGAGAGAGAGAGAGAGAGAGAGAGAAAGCATGGGGGGAAAGGACAGACGGACACAGAGAAGGGAAGCAGACTCCCTGCTGAGCATAGAGCCTGACACAGGGCTCAGTCTCAGGATCCTGAGATCATGAACCAAGAGTCAGATGCTTAACCAACAGAGCCACCCAGGTCCTCCAATAAAAAACATCTTTAAAGGAGATGTTCATATTGAAATAGAGATAGGTACCATAAAGCCTGAGCTATGTGTTCTATCCCTTGCACTGAGGAAACCTCCAGATACCATATGATGCATGCAGTCTGTGAAACATTGACTCAAGCATATAACAGTGAGAAGAGGCTATGTCAATGTGAGCCACAGTGAAATAGGATGGCTCCCTTTCATTTCAAGTGTAAATAATTCATTCAAAAAGCTATAAGCCAATTCTTCCAAAGGGGATTTGACAGAGAAAATTACAGAGATCATTGAAGTAGTTCTTTGAAGAATAAGTTGCAAATTTCAGGAGAAAAAATTAGGAAGAGCATTTAAGACAGAAAGAACCGCATGAGCCAAGTTGAGTCTTATATGTGAGAATAAAATATAGACTGTTATGTGTTCCAAGCTGTATTGTCCAATGCAGTAACCGTTAGCCATATATGGCTAGGTTGATTTAAATTAATTGAAATTAACCAAAATTTAAAATTCAGTATCTTAGTATCGTTAGTCCACATTTCAAGTGCTCAATCGCTGCGTGTGACTAGTGGCTACCATATTGGACTGTGCAGATCTAGAACATTTTTATCATCACAGAAAGTTGTATTGGACGGTGCTGGTCTAGAAAATAGGAATCTTCAGAAAGAAAATAACCTAGGCTGAGGATAGAAAAGTGTTTATGGCCAAGTTGTGGAAAGTCTCCAGTACCGTGGTAAAAATTTTACATTCTGTACTGTCAGCCCTATTAAGCCAAGCATGTTTTTAAAAGCAAGATGGCATATTCATATCTATGTTTCTGAGGGATACGAGCAGAATAGAATATACACTTGAATGACAAAAGAGGCAGGGAGATAAATTTGGAAACAATTGCAATAGTTCAAGAAGCAATATATTCCTGAAGCAGGAACCAGGGTATTAGAGTGAAGATAATATGTGGGAAAGTTTTTGTTTTGCCCACAATCCCCAACCTGCAGCCCCTTCTCTGCAAAGAAAAGATCTTGTTTTCAGTTAGTGCATATCTATGTGCATAAACATTTGTCTGCCTTTCAGAATGCTAAAATAAT